AATCATTAACCCTTAACTTAAATAAGTCGGTTTGGTGATTAATTAATTTATGTTGGAATTACCTGTGCACACAATGCCAGTCAATCGGGTATGGCTAAATTGGGTTTCCTCATCAATCTAAGCAATATGTGTGCATTTTCATTAAGATCTATACCAACAGACGTTTTACAAACTAGGTTTTAATATTCCTCTGCCCATGTGCGCTGGGTTGTAAAATTCCCTGTTTATGTATTACCAATAACAATAATTATATTTTTTTTATCATGTGCTTTTTATAAGCGTAAAACACAAAATAATTACTATAACTGATATTTGGTTTCAAATTCCGACAAACTAGACGACTTAATCAGATTTTCTTTTTAATTGTATTAACGATTAATGGTTATAATTAATTAAACGTAATCACAGCCAGCGATTAACGATTAAAAAAATTTAATTTAATTTAACTAATTTTAATCGTCAATCGCCATTGACTTTTTAATCGTTAATCAGTTTAACATTTTGCCAACACTGGCTGGTAATAAGTAAGCTTCGAGCTTCACGCTACAATCACTTGATGGAGTAAGCACGCTGGTGTCGTATATTTTCTCTTTTATACAAAAAGGTTTTTGGTTGGATAAAATATTAGCTTTTTTCCAGAGCTCATTGTTTTTCTATACCATTACTTATTGAAAATGTTTGCGAGTATACTTATATATGTATATGTAAGTAAAAAAGTTAAGCTACCATTTTTAGCCACAGCGACTTTTTTTTAGGTCTTTTTTAGCCCTTTTTTCAAAGGAATTTGGCTACCACTAAAAATGATTTGCGGCAACACTACTTCAGGCTGCAAAGTGCAATCAAAGCCGCCAGATATTGCTTTGCTAAGTTTCTTCCGGTCATTTTCTTTTCATTATTATTCGTGTGTGTGTGTACTACTGTTGTGGTTGTTGTTGACAGATATTTTATCAGCTGTAAATATAGAAAATCGCATCATAACTTCACGTGAAGCCCCAAGTACCTATTATTAGAAGACATGAGAAAAGTAATGCAATCGTTGCAAAAATTGCTTTTCTTAAAAGTGAATAAAGTATATTTTAATTTAAGAGGACAATAAATTATTTAAGTGCATATAATCGACTTCGAGCATTGCATTCTCGCTGGACCATGCGCAGTGATATTTGGGCTTTTCAATTAATTCTGAGAATTTGGTATTATCAACAACCTGTTTGATAATGAAAGTGAGCAAAACAAAAATACATGCCATATAGAGCAGGGTTTCCCGAACTTTTTTCACCGCGGCACCCTTGTTGTGCTAAACAAATTTCGCGGCACCTCTACTCTTCAAATATCGACGAAAACAAGCACAATGCAAACTTTTTTTAGTTTTGATGTGAGGACTGAAATTGTTTTGATGACTTCATTATTTTCTTAAGTTTATTGGGAGCTTTGACGATTTTACCCCGAAAAATTTGGATTTAACTTTTAAACCTGAGCTGGGACTACTGCCTTTTTTTAATCTTTTATAGTCTACTTTTTAGACCAGTCAATAGTTTTAAGCAATTTTTAATATATTCTGGTTTAAATTTTAGTCTAGCAACCGAGAATATGATGTTTTGCTATGAGTGGTTTAAAAATTAAACCAAATTGTTTTAATTCTAGTTTCTAGGTTTCATACTTAGAAAAGTTTGTGTAAAATCTAAACCGGAATAGAAAATGTTTACCTTAATATGCCTTATTTTATATGTCTCTCAGAGAGTGGGAGCAAATCTTATGAACTGACGGCATAAACACAGCGAACAGTGGTCTTGATTCAAACTCAACAAATTAAGGCACATTTATGCATGGCTGTACCAGTAGCTGAGTGTGCAAAGATGCTTGCTACCAAGGCAATCCGGGTTCAATGCCCTTCAGACAGAGCATATTAAATTTAAGATTTTTATTTTTTTATTTTTATTTGTGAAAATGTTTGAGTTTAAAATTTAAGCCGTACTGTTTAAATCCTAAACCCAACATAAGCTCTCTTTTTTTAATCTTGGAAAGTTTGTATTTGAAACTGAATTTAGTTGGGATATGTAGTTCAAAAAGTTTAAAATTAAAACCGAAATTTGTACATATTTGTCGATAGATTTAAAAATTTCGTCGTTAGTGGTGTAAGTCTCAAGTACTTCGCTCATCAAAATTTCTTCTACGATTTGCCTTGCGCCCTCACTAATACGAGGAGAATATTAAGTCCCTCTACGTCGATACTTTCGTCAAGTTGCAAACTAAAAAATTCACAAGCTTTCAAACTTTTTATAAATTCGTTCTCGACTGCCTCGAAATACATGAGAAATACACCACACAAGCGGCTTGACAAATCAAGCGAAATATCACTTTGCTGCAAGCCATTTGTGTTGTGTATGTGGTTTGACGAGCCGCTGAAGGTAATTTTAATAAAAATCAATACTTTTTTGATTTCCTTGCCGCCATGTTGGAGTTTGATCAAACCGCTTGCGTTGTGTATGGAAAGTTTAAAGAATTTGCTCGCACCACTAGTATACTCTAGCCACTAGCGGCACCCCAGGCATACGCTCGCGGCACCCACTTTGGGAAAGCCTGCTATAGAGTGTAAAATACAATACAATGGCAAAGAAGTAAACTGCAAAGATGTTTCTTTACATAAATACATATGAATGTATGTATATACATCGCTCATTTGCGTATTAGTGAGTTTGTTTACATTGCATATCGGATGCGGCAAATTTCCCTATAAATCCATTGTTCTGTGAAATATGTATATTTATTGATAACGGTTAATTCGATGAACCGTGGTTCGAAAAATATAAAAATATGAAAAACAATTATGACTTTCCGAAAGTTTTTTTATGCATTTGTGTGTCTATGTCGCTTGAAGCTCCCTTCGATCGAGTAATTTTAGCTTTGCTCTAATAAGGAAACTTTAAGGTCCAAATAAAAAATTACGCATTTGTTGTTTCACTAGTGTAGCAAAGGCGAAATTGTTATAAAACAGAAATATTGTTTGCCCGGGTTTCTTTCTGTTTTTTGCGTGCTTACGCACCTTTTCCTGATATTTGTTTTTCCCATGAGATCCAATGGTAATTGGCGTTTTATAGATTTGCGTACCGCGGTGTTTTTTGTGCATAGTGGAAATATCTCGTTGCCTGATGATGAGACCATTTATCAAACTCAGAGCTACACTATTCCTTTTTGGCTAGGGCAATAGTGTCCAAGGTAGTGAAGTAGGGGATGGTAGGGAAATTTCGTATAGCTTTGGCAAAACTGGACTATCCTATCGTCACTCTTGCCTGAGTTCGAAGAATATGGAGCAGTTGATGAGATGGCTAGGTATGAATGCCAAATGTGAGGCAGACTTATGGACTAAACGAGATGAAACGGTTAGACATAAAAAACCAGAAAATCTTCTAAAATTTAACACATCAATGATCACAGAAGGTGCTAAGTATTCCACCAATTCCAGCGTAGATGATCGTGAACGAGTTCTCTTTCTGAAGAAGCTGCCGCGTTGACTATTTTCTACGTCAATTACTTCGTATCCGGCCGAAGCGCCTTAAACACCACCGTCACGATTACTCACAAGTCTGGTAGGGTTAGCGGAACTGGTCTCTTGATTTGCGTCTTTTCTCTGCGGCAAAGCAAATTATTATTGCCTAAATTTTTGTAAACGAGTCCCGATTAGAGGAATTTGGTACTGCTTCACACTTCACTAAACAAATTTTCCCCGATGGCGACCACCTGGGGTTTGATGATCTGATTCTAAGGGACTCGAATATAGAAGACTATAATAAACAAACATTTGCATCGCCAGAAGGAATGTGATATGACGTCTCAGCGTCCTCAAGACAGAGCAGGCATACTGACTCTTTGGTTTGGCCGATTTCTTGCAAATAAAATACTATCGCCTGTATTTAAGAGACTGATATTTTTGTCATTGAAAGCGTAACTAAAGAGCCTATCTTCACTAAGCAGACCTATTGCTGTACAATAATTACCTAGTTCTGAATTAAGGCCCTCAAATAAGTTATGCGGAAGGGTGGCGGTCCCACAAAACCAGTTGAGGATATTTCTCCTGGCAGTTCGTCGTCGATTTTGTTGCTTTCAAACCCTTCCCGATCTGGCAACCAACATAAGTGTTACCGGCATAAAGTTGAAGCGTGTTGAAGCAAGCCTGGGTTTAATTAGTCTTTCACTAATTTTAGTTCATAAGTGCCAGATACCGCTATATAACTCAAGCTAGAAACGTCTGGGTACTTAAGAACGTCTCTGCGACCAAATGAAGGAAGAGCCACAGAAAGCTCGCATCTTTTCAAAGCTGATGGACTTCTCACGATTATTTGCATTACGCTTCCTTTGATAAACTTTGTCGTTAGATACCTGTAACTGGCATCTCTCAATTGTCTGATGCTGCTTGAATATGTATAGGCATATGAAAAGGAGTCTATCTCAGAAGTGGCTGCCCGTAGCTAGGACACACAAACCTATTGAAGCGCAGTATGGCAGTGTTTTATGCCACCATACTACTGATGCATATGACATTAGGTAACGTTGGGCCTCTCATAAATGAAACAATTTTGAAATACCTCTGTTTGGAAGACACTACAATGATCTGGAAACCCAAATTTGAGATAAAGAGAGGGCTGTTAAAAAAATGTATACCGACACTTCTGTCCAGCTTCAACCTATCCGTGTAGAGCTCACTGGTGTCAGTTTAGCCAAGTACCTAGTGATCCGTTTAAATAAGGTTGAAGTCAAAACTTCCAATAATACTAGACTGTTAAGCACTACGATTGTTTATAGAGCCGCAAACAATTCAGTTATCAGGGTAGTAGACATGTTTACAATGTATTGATGCAGTGTGGAGAGTATACCACCTTTATACCTGGATAGTACCACTAGCCCACACCGTTGCGACAGTTCTGTGCCAAGATTTATCCTCGTTGAAAAAAAATTGGTTTTTAAAAGTTCTTAAATATTATATTTATTCGACATGTGATTTTTTAATATCATTTGAACATTCCATTTTTACAAATTTTAAATTTAAATATTGTCATTTCACTAAACCTAAATCTCCGTTTCATCATGACTCAATTGGTGTGTCGCATCTGTATTGCGCATTGCTTCCTCATAGCGCTGTCGGTCCACTAATTCCACCGGATACCAGTCCATCGGACGACAGCAGCGCTTAAAACGCGTCTTGAATGTCCCCGTGGTTTGTAGCATTATATAGATCATATAACCCGGTACATATAGCCAGGGTAGGACTATAAATAGAAGCGCAGCGATTTGTAGAACAATTGTACCGATATCGTGATTCACCACAGCTATAAATAGTGTTCCTAACTGTAAGTAGAGATGATTAGTGGATGTTTGGTACATTTGATCAGTTTACTTAGAAACTACAAGTCTGCGCAAGTCAATGGGGTATATATATTTAGGAAGGATCCCCTCAATCAGTGATATCTATTCTAAAGTTTCTGTTGGTAGATCACTTACCAATAGCAGTATAAGACACAGAGGTGAAACAAAGCGCAGCATATAAATCTTCCATGTTGAAAATGTTTGACCTAACATAAATTCAATATCGCGTTGGAAACGCACTCGCCCATAGACCCACAGCACGACGAAGAATAGCAAAAGATTGAGACAAGTCTGTGTGACGAGCGTATCGTTGGATAGTATGATATGGAAAAAGACACCGCGCTGGAAAAATTTGTAAAGCAATAGACTAAATTCAGAAATGTTAAATACTCATTAGCGGTATGGATAACCTACATTAGTACAAGTGTAGAGCGAGCAAAAGGCTAACAGGCCTATTACAATGTAAGTTACTACAGTTTTGCGCGCACGTAATTCTTCAAATTCATCAAAGATGCTCTGCAGAGTTGATAGTAGGCTGGTCACCTGCAAGTAAAGGATGTATTAAGTATAAGTATAAGTATAAGTATAAGTATAAGTATAAGTATAAGTATAAGTATAAGTATAAGTATAAGTATAAGTATAAGTATAAGTATAAGTATAAGTATAAGTATAAGTATAAGTATAAGTATAAGTATAAGTATAAGTATAAGTATAAGTATAAGTATAAGTATAAGTATAAGTATAAGTATAAGTATAAGTATAAGTATAAGTATAAGTATAAGTATAAGTATAAGTATAAGTATAAGTATAAGTATAAGTATAAGTATAAGTATAAGTATAAGTATAAGTATAAGTATAAGTATAAGTATAAGTATAAGTATAAGTATAAGTATAAGTATAAGTATAAGTATAAGTATAAGTATAAGTATAAGTATAAGTATAAGTATAAGTATAAGTATAAGTATAAGTATAAGTATAAGTATAAGTATAAGTATAAGTATAAGTATAAGTATAAGTATAAGTATAAGTATAAGTATAAGTATAAGTATAAGTATAAGTATAAGTATAAGTATAAGTATAAGTATAAGTATAAGTATAAGTATAAGTATAAGTATAAGTATAAGTATAAGTATAAGTATAAGTATAAGTATAAGTATAAGTATAAGTATAAGTATAAGTATAAGTATAAGTATAAGTATAAGTATAAGTATAAGTATAAGTATAAGTATAAGTATAAGTATAAGTATAAGTATAAGTAGAAGTAGAAGTAGAAGTAGAAGTTCAAGCTTAAATGTCTCACCATGGTAATTAACGCCGCTAATAGCAGCATTGCATAAAATAAAATACACCATAGATTTGGCCATGTCATCTCTGCCATTACACTGCCCGTGGACAGAAATAGAGCCCATAGATGATTTAAAAACGCATAGGAATCTGGATTGTCCGCATTGTATGCATCCTTTATTTCTGAAAAGGAATAAGGAATAGAGGGTATTGAATATAAGCCCTCGATATGTATTTACATTAAGATGGCCCCAAAAAAAAGCAAAGTCGGAATTTTAATGCTCTCACCTCCTAGGACTGCTCTATACTGAAAAAAACAAATTGATTTTCAAGAATTCTATACCATTAAAACTTGTTTTTCCCCGTATAAAATACATGGAAAACTTTGAGCGGCTTGATTTTTTTTTTTTCAAAATAAAAAACAGGTGTATAATTTTTTCGGTACAGAGCAATCCTACGGATGAGAGCGTTAAAATCAACACTTTACTTTTTCACGTGCATTTTTGGAACCACCCTAATTTACATACGAGTATATTCAGCACTCACCTTCAAAGTAATTATCCGTCACATAAATAATAAAGGCAAATGATAAAAACATACATAATTGCGCTAGGCAAATAGTCCAACTATTTTCTATGATTTTCGTTTGGAATCTATTGAAACTGGCCAATGCTATTACGCTGCCCCAACCTACGCCAAATACCGATACTATATAAAGGCTTACTGTCGGAAAACCACGCAGGAACGTATACCACTCAGGTATGAAGAATTGAGAGATTGTAAGCAAAGGATCTTTTGGTATCAAAGCAAAACGTAGTACAGCGATGAAGAGCAAAACAAAAGTGGCGAATATGCAATAACGCAGCACTGTGCCTAACTGCAAAGTTGAAAGTGCATATTTAAATATTGTAAAAAACCGTTAATTTCAATTATGTATATGTATGCATGTGCTAAAAACCTTTTCTATGCTTCTCCATTTATAGAAGACGGCCACAATTATTGACCATATGAGTAGCGTACAAAGCAACACTTCCCAGGAGATGTAGAAGCCGTCATCGTTGGGTTCAAATAATTCCATATGATTAAAGCGAGATCTATGGCGAAAATTGGATATTGTGAAAGAAAGTTCCAATTACGGTGTTGAAGAGATTAATATTTACTTTAAAAATAAATTCGATGGTATTTCGTGTGTTACAAACCAGGAGCTATTAGTTAACGGTGGCGCCGTATCATTGTGTAAAATATGGCAGAGCTGTAAAAAACAAAAAAAAAGGAAATTTTAAATCAATGTTGTTAAATAGTACTCGAGAGCATTTCAGGCCGTCTTAAGACTTGCTCGAGATGACTTCGGGACAAGTTCACGATTTTACGACTGTTTTGGAATTTGTCCAGAACGTTTTCGGGAACATTTTGGCACTAGGCTGGGATCATTTGAGTACCGTTTCGGGATCTGTTCAGGACTATTTCAGGACCATTTCGGAGCTATGTATTTTAGGATCACTTCGGGACTGATTGATTACCATCACGGGATTAACTCTACACTATTTGAGACTAGTTCAGAATTAGTTTAAATCCATTTCGGGACTGCTTAAGGACTATTCCTAGCCTTTTTCGGGATAGTTCGCGACTATTTCGTTTTGGACCTGGTCAGTAGTATTTGTTGCTCAGTTCGGGCTCATTTTGGGACTAGCATGGGACCATTTCGGAACTGTTTCAAGACTTGTTCGATATGATTTCGGGACATGTTGACTACATTTTCAAGGTTACTTCAGGACAAGCTTGGGCTTAATTCGGGATCATTTTGGGATAATTCGTCCTGAACTAGTCCTGAACTATTCCCGAAGTGGTTAAGAAAAAGACGTGCTCTGGTTCCGGCAAAACGAATAAAATGGAATGAATATTTAGTTTCTAACCTAAGTTATTTTTCATGTAACTTAACCACATAATGCTTTGACAAACCGTAGATAGATCAGGTTTAATGAGTGCTTACCTGCTACTCACGTTATTTTTTTGTTGGTGATACGTAAGTGGGTTTCCATTGTAATTATTTTAAATTTTAGAACCTACCTAACCTAAAACCTTTAAAACCTAAAGTCTTTCTCATACATATGTTAATTTCTTAGCTCTACCAAATCATCGCGAAGTCCATAATGTTTATTGGAGTCCTCTTCTGCTGGAATACACCTCTCTAGTCAAGTTTAGGGATACCGGGCGCGTGTTTCTATGCCCGACTTATATGAATGCCAGGTTGCGGAGAAAACTAACGTATTGGTTTTTCAATACGGTCGTAAACCCCATTGTTACATATGTGGCACTGAGCTGGAGGCCAAAAGCTAAGCAAGTAAGCGCGGGAGCCCCCTTGAGCAAGCTCCACCGCTTGGTTTGCCTGGCCATCACAGGAGCTATGCGCCCCGGACCATTCCTCCACTGTTTATTTCGATTGAAAAGGTGGCCTGGTGGAGCGCCTTATGACTGCCCAGTATAATCACCATGAAAAGTGGGTATCTTCGGGGTCACTAGAAGGTTCTCAAGCCATTGCCGGATAATCCCGATAACAAGCTTACCGATATTATGCTACCGAAATTATCCTTTGACTAGACCTACAGGGCCAGGATTCCCACAAAGGAATAACTACGATCTACAAAGGGTCCCAAATATGATAAACCGATGGATCGAAGATGGGCGACGAGAGTACTTAGCTATGCGCACTTGGAAAAGTCTGCCAATGGGCTCATCCCAAACTATAGTCTAGGCGGAAATCTTCGCAAACGAAGGCTATGCTCGAGAATGTCTTCGTAAGAGGACAATTTGATAGTCAAGCAGCGTTAAATGCCTTAGACTCATCAGAAAAACATGAAGCATCTTGGACAGTTTAAATTCTATTGAACCGCCTGGGGCCATTTATAGAGTGTCAATGTGGTGGGTCTCTGGACATAAATGATTTGAAGATAACGAAAGGGCTGACTATCTCGCAATACGTGGAGCCCAAATGCGCTTGTATGGTCCAGAGCCTTACTGCCGCACATCTAAAGTATACACTGCAGAAAAATTTTTACGAAAAAAGGCACTTAAGAAAAACTTCGGGAAGAAAAACGCGTAACCTAGCTGACGGTGAAGAAAGACGTGTAAACATAGATTAATACCTAGCCGAGGACTATCACTTCAGCATCATTCCCCAAAAATCCTTTGGGTATCCGCGTCTTTCTTCGCCGTCAACCATGTTAAGAGCTTTTCTTCGCGGAAGTTTTTTTATGCGGCTTTTTGCACGGTCAACTTTTGAGCTCGCGCCTTTATTCATGTCTAGGGACGATATGTACTCGTATATACATATAACTCTTAATCGTTAATTTATACTCACATGTCTCACTTGATGCTCGGTAAAGTTGTATGACCAACTCTTTAAACCCTCACAGCTCCATGGTAAGGTGGGACGCAATGAATGGAAGAGGTAGAGTAACGGTATGGCGGCAAAGACGCTGTAGTATGTAAGGACGCCCAAATTCACAGCCAAGCTAATATAGCCAATTCCTGTCAAAAATAAAGAAAATAGGATTATTCAGTACATACAAATAATTAAAGTGGATTCAATGTAAAATTATGCCAAAATAGTTTTTAGAGGCATACTGTAGTAATTTACACACGCCATTAATAAAAAAAAGTAAATAAAAACATTTTTCAAGGCCTTTGTTAACATTTTCTGAAAGTATACCCATCCCATTAGTAAAGCACTCGCTGGATTTGCAAAAGTTAGCTCTCATTTTCATTTAATGGCCTACTAAAGTTTTCATGTCTCGGCCCAAGTACTTTTCAAAAAAGTCTAAAAAATTTTTAAAATATATGTAATAATAATATAAAGGTTAAGATATATATACATAGTAAAATTTCATGGGAAATATTTTCATAGAACGTTTTAACCCATTAGCTGCCGACTGAAAAGGTCGTTTTCGCTAACAAAGTACAGAGCCGCATCAAGTTCCACATTCGAGATACTGATTTAAAATTGGCCGGGATGGGCGGTATCGGGAAGGTCTGTAAAAATATGGCGGGCGGGACGGGACCAAAATCCTTTCCCGACACTCCCGATAAAACCGCAACCCCCGAAAATTCACGAAATCTTCCTTAAAAACGATGTTTGAAATATGCACTTTTAATGTTATATTGAGACGAAAAAGAAAAAAAAATTATAGGAAGATGCCAGATCTTTCATTATTAAAATTAATATGAAAGACATGAACATATTTGTGAACCTTCGATCGGTTTGTAAACCTCGCCACATACGTTGAAATCTCAACATCCGCTCGTATCAATTTGTTGTCCGTGTGTAGCCTGCTTTAGAGATAGATATCGGGACCCACGGGACCCGCGGTACAATTCTGAAAAAGCTCGGGATAGGCGGGTCCGGGACTTAAAAATCGAATTTCGGGATGGACGGGGTCGGGATTAAATATTTAGTCACGTGCCCATCTCTATTCCACATCTTGTTCACCGACAGCACTTCGGGCAAAGAAAAAGATATTTTGTTGGCAACATACAAGGTAATTGACTTGCAGTGCACGAAGATTGAGACTTTCCAAAATGCCGTATTCTAGTTAGCACCAAGTTGTGTTATGATTTCGTCGACGTACCAGTTGCTTAGTGAGGCATCTACATATGTTTCCTGTTAGGGAGCACAATCTAATGCTTATCTGGTTGGCTACTATCGCAGGGAGCATCCAAACTGACATTTTCTTGAGGCAGAACCTCCACCTGGACACGTCCGAAGGCATCTTCTAGAATACAAGGACGTGATACAAACGCACCTACAACAAGCTTTGGATGCGACGGTGAACCGACGGCATCTACAGAGAGTCCGTTTCCATCCGTAAGTGACTCTTGTCCCATGAATTACGTTGTTGAAGCCCAAGCACCAGTAGTCGTCTGAGTCCCGAATACGCGAGTGACCAAATCTACGTTACCTCTATATGTGTGTTGCGTTCAATCTGCATATATCATACATAGTCCGGATGTTGTGAGTGCCATGTATGGTAAGATTCAAGAAAGGGTGATAAACTATTTAGTTTGTTTCTGCTTGCAACAAACTCCTCTGTCTATAGTTGGATGAGGACTTAAGCGGCTCTGAAATATGAAGTTCTAATTGAAAGTCTATGAGTCTGTGCCTCTGTTCTCTATTTACTGCTTTGCTAGACTAATTTTTCTATTAGCCGCCTAAGATTGTTGTCTTGCCTCTTTCATTCTGAATTTTTGCTCAAATATGTTCTTCTCATAAGGCCTTACATATATATGTATTTATAAATAATACATACAAAAAATAATGCTGGGGAAATACTTACCTTTAAAAAGCGGCGCAATGCGAAATGCTGATATAAATCCAGTCCTCGAGAATTGGCCCAGAAATGATTGCATCACAAACAAAGGAACAATGAAGATGAATAAAAATATTATATAAGGCACAACAGACGCACCTAAAAGGGAGGTCGTTGAAAAATTTTAAATTAGTCTCTTTTCGAAACCATGAAATCAATATATAATTAATAGTTCAGGACTAGTGAATGACCGTTTCGAGGCCTGTTAAGGACTAAATATATTTCAGGAACTGTTCAGGGCATCATTTCGGGATAAAGTTTACGATTATTTGAGGACTATTTTAGGCCTAGCTTTGTGCCATTTCGAGACTTGTTAGGAATATTTTTGGACTAGTTCAGGTTCATTTTTTGTCAATTTTCGGACTAGTTCGGATTATTCCGGACTATTTCAGGCACATTTTGTAGCTATTCAGGCCGATTGCTTAGCTATTTCATGACCGTTTCGCGACTAGTTCACAACTATTTCTGGTCCAGTTCTGGAACATTTGAGTCTAGTTATGAACTATTTCCGGTTTATTTCAGGACAGTTCAGGAACATTTCGGGACTAGTTCGGGATTATCTTGGGACTATGTAGGGGAACATTTCAAGACTTGTTCAATATTATTATTTCTTAACAAGTTCAGGATAATTTCGGTGTAGTTCGAGAGATTCGAGGTTGAAATGCTCAGCCTGCAGAATTTTTATTAATTAATTTTTTTTAATAAAGTTTCTTTAATTGTTACACTTTATTTTTTTGAGAAGAAAGATACATATCTTTTCGATTTCGTAAATTTTCTAGAAACTCATTTACATATTTTTTAGTTTTTTGAAATATATTTAATTTTTGTAATTTAATTTTCTTTTAATTTTAAGAGTTTATTTTATATTATTTAGTCCTAAGGACTTTATTTCAAGTTTTTAATTTTTAATTTAATTTTCTTTTAATATTATTTTTAGTTTTTAATCTAATATTCCTTTAATTTTTTGATTTCGTGTTTTGGGAACTTATTTTTTTTAATTTTATTTACTTATTTTTTAGATTTTATTGTTAAAAATATATATATATCTATTTTTTTTTATTTACTTTATTTCAGATATATTTTTATTTTTCAAAAATTTTCTCGAGCGTGAGGTCGTTTTATATGAAAAAATGTGGAAAAACTATTTATTTTCTCTTGATTTAGTTTTCTTTTAATTTTAAGTTTTTATTGTTTTAAAAGAAAAACGTACTTGTTATATTTAATCAAATATTTAGAAAACGTATTGCCTTTGGTGTTTCGAAAAACGGTGGTGAGTTCAACGACTGTTGCCAGAATTGCCCTTGCCGAGGTCCTTTTTTACATACATAAATCTGGGTAATATGCGTATATAGCAATCGATGAGAAATTCTTGAAATTATAAAAATTTGTTGTTGTTGGATTTTAAAATGAAAACAATTCGTTTTTCGCTGAAAACTCATTATTCATTCATTATCTCATATTTGCATATATTTGCATATACGTACATATGTATTTATGTATTTACGTATGTGTGCAAGAAAAAGCTCGGTTCAAACTAATTGATAACATGTACATTAGGGTGGTCCAAAAATACATAGGAAAACCCCCCTTTTTTACCTTCCTTTTATTAGTTCGGGATGTAACTATGTAATATTGATGCGCCTAAAAGATGCAGCGATTTCTATTCTCAGGTTACATACCTGATGACAGTACGAATGGCAATTATAATAGGGAGCTTTTAGTTTTTTGAACTATAATTTGATTTTTACTGCTGCCACCTCCAGAAATGAAGAATATCAAATATAAGGAGGCATTTATCAGCTATTCAAACGATTTGAAAGTTGATTAAGCAAAGTAAAAGTACATATCGTGGCGAAGAAATATTAAGTTTTTGCTTATGAATTTGACAGTTTTGCCAGTTTTTACCCGAACAGCGTTGCCACACTTTTTGGTTCTTCTCTCTTTCTCTGAGAGCAATTTTGCTTTTGGACAGTTTTACTGGTTTTATACACAAAAGTTGAGGAACGAAACTAATATGTTAACACAGCCAACATGCATATCAATCGCTCTACTTACAACCCGCATATGAAAATATCACCCATGCTATGGAGAAAACATCTAAGCGGAAAGCTAAGCTGATGCCGGCAAATATGAAGTCGCTTGGCTTAGCCCAATAGCCGCGTGTCAAATCAGGTTTATAGGGCAGACGGCCACTATCGTATGAAGTTTCGTAAATCATTTTAAAAGCAAATAGCGATCACAGCTTTGTAGAAGTAAACATAAAATCAGACACACACACGCAACTAAAATTTTACGTGCAGCACAGTGTAAATAAATTTGCTATAATTTCATTTTTGTTTTTTTTTTTGTTTCTATGTGCGCCGGCTATATGTAATTAACTAAGGTTTTCACAAAGTCATCGCAGTGATATGTATGGCTCGCAACCAACGAAACACCTTCACATTGAATTTTTGAATACACCGATTTTTAAGCTATAATTAAAACGGCGCTCCACACACGCTGAGCAGTGATAGTCGACTGATCGAATCGCTGTTGCTTGGTTTTGTAAACTGCATACACGTATGTATGTATGTATGTAGTATACATATGTACAAACATACATACATGCATATATATGAATGTATCTGCATAAATATATGAAAATAATCAGCAATTCTAAAAAATACACAGAAATAATGGCCAGAGTACCTATAATGAGAAATACAAATTTAATTTATTTTCTTTTTTCAATGGATTCACTCCATCGAAAATGTTTACAGCTGAATGAAGGGGTGTAATAGAAAATTGCTAAACAGTTTGTTTTGGTACTCTAATTTTATAAATTATGCCGTAAACAAGATTCTATCTGTGTATGTATGTATGTATGTATTTTTGTTTATTTCAAATCTCTCTAAAATACATAGGAACGAAAAATATCTCTTATTTTGGTGTTTGCTATAATTAACGTTCGATATCAGTAATGTAAAATTTTACTCTGCTATTAACATATACACTCAAACAGCTGTAAACTTACAATAACACACAGTGTTTACATCGCAGAGAATGTTAGTTCGGACAAACTCTATTGTCTTGCCTGATTAAAAAATACAATAAGATAAAATAAAACAAAATAAAATTAAATAAAATAAAATAGATTAATAAAACAAAAAAATAAATAAAATAAAATAAAATAAAACAAAATAAAATAAAATAAAAT